CTACAAGTGAATATAAATTATTCATGGGCTGCCCATGATTTATTAATGCAGTATTTGTTAGAGAATGGAATCTCCATTTGTATAATTGCTGAGCCAGTACACATTCCAGACTCTCCGGCATGGTTCTGTAGCACCGATAAAAAAGCAGCAATATATGTAAATTATGAATACTTTAAGGATTCTTTGCAACTATTTAGTAAAGGTAGAAATTATGTAGCAGTTAAATGCGATAATTATATATTCACATCGGTATACATATCTCCAAATATCAGTACTGGAAGGTTTCTGCTCGCAATGGATGAACTAAGTGATCTAGTAGTAAAGGCTAAAAATAAAGTGATAATAAGTGGAGATTTTAATGCCAAGTCCCCTCGGTGTGGGCATCTAGAACAACGGATGTGCGAGGAGAACTAGTTGAAGAATGGTCTGCTGAGTGCGAGCTGAGGTTAATAAACGCTGGGGCTGCCCACATGTGTGAGAGCCCAGAGCACATCCATCGTAGACCTCACGTGGTGTACGGCTGATATAGTTGCAAATTTACTGGAATGGAAAGTGGAAGATCGCGAATCACTTTCAGATCATGCGTATATAAGTTTTGTGGTTCAGAATAACTTATATTCCTTGGCGAGTAAATTACCAATTAAGCATCCATGGAGTTTTAGTAAAATGAATGAGGATATGTTCCTAGAGATACTAGAATTCAAATGTGCAAGAGATCCACTAGTGACAGAAGGAATCTCAGTAGAAGACATGGCTGCTTGGATGGAGAATGCACTGTCGGAGGCATGCAACGGTTCAACTCCGAAGATGAAAGGACGTAAGCCCATGAGCCGTACCTATTGGTGGAATAGTGATATATCGGAAGCTAGGAATGAGTGTATTAGAGCGCAAAGGAAATGGACGAAGAGTAAGAGAAAGGGAGACAGAGACGCTACAGAAGAATTTAGGTTGGTTTATAGAGAGAAGAGGAAAATACTAAGAGAAGAAATCAAGAAGGCGAAAACAATTGCATGGGAAGAACTCATAGAGACAATAGATAACGACCCATGGGGCTTACCGTATAAGGTGGTTCTCCGCAAATTACGTAAGCACTCGTTGGGACATATCGAAACCCTAGACAAGCATCAAGTAGATAAGATTGTGGATAAACTGTTTCCGAAAGGTGAACCATTGAGTAATATCGAGCTGGAAATGCCTGAGTGGAACGAGGAATGGGAGATTGCACCCATGGAGGTCTTTAAGATGCTAAAAAAGAGGCAAGTAGCCAACACCGCACCCGGACCGGATGGTATAAAGGCAACAATACTAAAGAAGGTCCCCACGTGCATTGTCGATAGAGTAATAGCATGCTACGATAAATGTTGTGGGCGTGAGCCTCGATATAGCAAACGCCTTCAACTCATTACCATGGAAGGCTATACATGAAGCACTAAGGAAGAAAGGCTTTCCAATATACCTGAGACGTATAATTAAGAGCTACCTATCGGAAAGAACTATATACATTTCATCTACTAAAGACGGCTCATGGAGCAAACCCATGTCAGCAGGCGTGCCTCAAGGATCAGTTTTTGGTCCCTTATTATGGAACATCACATACGACGAGGTGTTACGAAATAGAGTTGAACCGGGATGTTCGATCATCGGATATGCGGATGATACTTTTATTATGGCTAGCGCTGCTAGTATTGAGGATGCATGCTACATGGTCAGTATGCAGACGGCCAGAACCCTCTTCAGTATTAGGAATCTGGGCCTGGAAGTCTCAGAAGAAAAAACCAATGTAATCGTTTTCTATAGTAATAGGAATAAACCTGATAAAATACCGGAAGTAATGGTAGGCAACACAGAAATTGCAATACAAAGTCTATTAAATATCTTGGACTTATGCTGGATCGAAGATGGTGTTTCCAACAGCACTTTATGTACATGAGTCAAAAGGTGAATAAAGTGATACGGGCTTTGGGGAGGCTTATGCCAAACTTGAGAGGCCCTGGAGAATCCAAAAGAGGTCTATATGCGAATACAGTTCTCTCGGTGGCGTTATATGGGGCTCCAATATGGAGCGAGGTGCTGGCGGTTTCACCAAGATTGCAGTAAATAGCTAGAAGGATATTTAGAGTGTTAGCATTGAGAGTAATAACAGGATATCGCTCAGTATCGCATGATGCAGCTACTTTGCTAGCCAGGGTCCCCCCATTAAATCTATTGGCAGCCATGCAGAGCAGAACCTTCATGAGGTCGAGGGATTTACTAAGGAATGGTGAATGGTCAAAGGAAAAGGAAAAGAAAATTAAGGACGTGGAGAAGACACTACTCCGTAGGCAATAGAACATTTATCTGAGTAGAAGGGACGTTCCTGGGTTAAGAACCATCGAGGCAATCTTACCCCATTACTCTCCTTGGCTTGATAGGAATCATGATTGTATGTCATTTAGATTAACTCAGGTTTTAACAGGTCATGGCTGTTTCAATAAGTTTCTATATAGGATAGGTAAAAGTGATTCACCCTTTTGTACATATTGCGAGTTGGAGGAGGAAGATGATCCGGAGCATATGATTGCACGTTGTCCTAGATGGAGTGAATAAAGGAGTAACCTAATTTTAAGTTTAGATTCGATAGAAATTATTGAGGATGGAGTTAGACTTAAACACTTAGTCAAAAGTATGCTAGAATCCAAAGATAAATGGAACGCAGTAACAAGATTTTCGGAAGTAGTTATAAAAATCAAAGAGGATGAGAGAGAAAGAGGGAGAGAGGCCAAAGCCCTCCGGATCTTACCAGTGAAGAAGAGTAGTATTAGCATTAGATCTAAGCTGATAGAAACACAGTTTTAGTTTTAGATTTAATTTCGGTTTTTAGCTTTAGCTTTAGTTGTAGTTAGCTTTGGTTTTTAGGTTTAGTTTTAGTTTTTATCTCTTAGTTTGTAGTTTTAGTTTAGCTTAAAGTCAATTGGTTGTCGAATATTTTATACGCCAAAATATCGTCTCCCGTTACTACTCGCGACGATCCCGACAAGTGCCTTCCTCTCTTCCGTCGTTCGCCGTCGCGCACCAGAGAGTTGTTCGTGGTGGAGGAGCGTCATCGCAAGGAAGGGAGACGGACCGTGGGACAAGGAGCAGCCGATTCGGTAGCCAAATCGTTGAAGAAACCGCGGAGCGAGCCGGCGTCATATCCTGGTTGCAATCCTGCCATTGCGAGCGGACAGCCACAAGTCCTGGGGGCTCGGACCGAGAAGCTACCACATCCTGGTTGCAATCCTGCCATTGCGAGCGGACAGCCACAAGTCCTGGGGGCTCGGACAAAGAAGCTACCACATCCTGGTTGCAATCTTGCCATTGCGAGCGGACAGCCACAAGTCCTGGGGGCTCGGACCGAGAAGCTACCACATCCTGGTTGCAATCCTGCTATTGCGAGCGGACAGCAACAAGTCCTGGGGGCTCGGACAAAGAAGCTACCATATCCTGGTTGCAATCCTGCCATTGTGAGGGGACAGCCAAGTAACCTTGCCGCTTGTTGGTGAAAGCGTGCTGGCGACCGTGAATCAAAAACAGGTGAGAGAACCTTTATTCGAAGCGTATTTCTTACGTCTAAAACGTTTTTTACGCTTGGCCGGTATTTGTCCGGTCAAAACCTAACTGTCCGTCCGTCCGTCATAAAAAGATTTGTCCTTACATCTGAACCGTTGTAACACACACGTTTTAAGCTCATCTTCTGGTTGAAAACGCCTGCTGCCCAAATTTTAAGGGGTCAAACAGATGGAATGTTGGCAGTTTTTACATGGTTCTCTGGGGAGTGTGTTACAGTGGTTCAGACATCAGGACATCTCCTTTTATTCTGTCGGTATTAACGCATTAATACGTCGATGGCAAAAATGCTGTAACGTAAATGGAAATTACGTTGAGAAAAAATGTTCCTTACTGGTCATAATTTTGTCACCTTACCTGTCTAAAAATTCGTTACTACGGCCATTGTACACAGCTCGCCGTAGAAATATATACACAGATACACCTGGTTCGCTTATTCACCCAGCCCTATCTGTCCTGCCACCGCCATATTGCTTAACGCGTGCGCGTTCTCGCTCAGCATGCGCTCCCGCTCACCGACACGCGCTATCTCGCTCAGCATGCGCTCTCGCTCACCAGCACGCTCTATCACTCTCGCGGGGTCCCCACGCGGTACCGACTCCCACCGCCGGACCGACGGCGCACAGTGGGGGCCGCCGGCCGGGTATATAATCGCTAGCAATAACACCTGGTAGTATTAAGTCTGCTAGCCATAACCGCATCCTAGTCTTAAAGCCTGTTAGCTATAAGACCTGCCTAGTAATAAGCCCGCTAGTTATAACCGCTCGTTAGTGATAAGTCCGCTAGTTATAACCGCACGCTAGTAATAAGACCTGTCTAGTACTAAGTTCGCTAGTCCTAAGGCCTGTTAGTGATAAGTTCACCGCATGTAAATAAAACCGAGAACCATCGCCCGCCGCACCTGTCTGGCGCTTCTCACCGTGTTACGCCTCTCGCTTCGCGTCTGCGCGTTACGCTCCGCAGATCCTGCTACCAGCGACCGCCTTCACCGCACGCTATCGACAGACCCTGCACGCTGTATCAAGCGACGCGGTAGCGTCTCGACGCCAAGTATATAAAAAAAAACGTTTCGACTTGTCAACGGTTTGCCTATGTTGCCTATGTACAGGGGCCGCGACGCTACAAGTAGCTTATCTGGAGTTTTGCGTCTAATAAACTTTTGATTAAAATTCCTCAGGAACCAAGCCGTTAATCAAAAATATAACTTTTCTTATACAATGTGGATGCAAGCTTTAGATTGCGACCAGTTTGAATAAGATTGGTGCAGTCAACCTTGAGGAATGATAATTGTATACCAGAAATGTGACATTTTTCGTTTTCCATCATCATTATCATAATAATCAGGTTCAGTTTCAGACTCTCACGTACGTATGCTCGCACGCACACACGCAAAGCGATTTTGTCCCTCAAGGCGCGTTTGCAGCGCTCATGTACGATTATTCGCTTGAGTGTGCAAATACGCCTTGAGAGACAATGTGTATGTGCGTGCATACGTATATGATACGTATCAAGCGGTACGCGGTAGCATCGCGACGTCAAGATATAATAACGTTATAAGGTTAATGTTCGCGACGTCAAGATATAATAACATTATAAGGTTAATGTTATATTCGAATCTGCTGCAGAAAATATATTTGGTCCTATCGAGTAAGTAGATTGAAATTTTGTATATATATCTGCTTATATATGCTGCGTATATGTTTATTTATTGTTTTATAAGTATATTATTTCTTGATTATATCTGAATATTGTCTAAATTATAGCGCTTATTTGCAGGATAAAGCAAAATCAATCAATCCTTTCAAGAAGGCTGGTATACTTTTAGCTGGGATTTCTTCAGCTGGGATTGCATACGGTCTTATACCGCAGAACTTTGCTAAACAGCGTAACATATTGGGTTATAGAGATTTGGCAGTAACAGACAGTAAGTACAATATAGTAGCACATATAAAACATTCAGTAGCACATATAAAACCAGATATGTAAATTAAATTAAATATTAAAATTCTGTTCTTTTCATTGCACACAGATAGAGGGAAGTGACCATAAAGCACTTAACTTCGGATGGACTGAAATCACTGACATTATTACATTTTTGATAAAAAATCGTAGGAATTTACAAGTTTTACTTCACAACTATATAATCAAAAATTTTATTGCTAAATAATATAAAAAAAATAAAAAACAAGATTTTATTGCCTATATAGGATTTAATAAAATTAAGTGCCAATTCTACATAAATAAAACTACTGTATTATTGTAAGATAATATAATGTAAGCACATATCGAAGAAAATCGAAGAAAATCGAAGTATACATATTATGTATGTATACTGATAAAGCAAATAACATTTTCTTGCAGTTAGATCCACTTTAAGAATAATAAGTAAATATTATGTATGAAAAAGTGGATCTTACTGCAACAAAATGTTATTTGCTTTGTTGGTATACATATATAATATGTATACTTTGATTTTCTTGGCATACGTATAACATGATGATTTCATCGCCGACGTTGGTCCCGCCATCGATGAAAATAGACGTAATATTATAATTATAATTACATAATTTTAATTTATTCACATTTTATTCACTATTTTTATATTTTTTATACTTCCATAGCTCAAAGACCAAGAGGCAACGCAGCAGGCGCTCGCAGACAGCAGCAACGCTTCATGCGATTTCTATATCAATTATCTTCGGCCCACTATAATTGGGGCAGACGGGGAAGATCAAGAAAGTAAGAAATTTAGATCTGTACTTCAAAACTTCTTCAATTTATGAATATAACGATATTAATAATGTTATGTCTATTTTTAGCACATGGCGCAATGACCAGCAATAATGGAACCGTATGAATAAAAGCTGCTACCGTTACCTGCTCAAGTTCCTACAAGAAAGAAGTTTTCCTTTTTTTTATAAAATAATGTAATGTTAGTTATACGTATGCCAAAAAAATCAAAGTATACATATTATGTATGTATACTGACAAAGCAAATAACATTTTCTTGCAGTTAGATCCACTTTAAGAATAATAAGTAAATACTATGTATGAAAAAGTGGATCTTACTGCAACAAAATGTTATTTGCTTTGTTGGTATACATATATAATATGTATACTTTGATTTTCTTGGCATACGTATAACTAATATTACATTATTTTATAAAAAAAGGAAAATTTATAAATATCTTGCATTGTACAACATGTTACTATAATATTGGTTATACGTATGCCAAGAAAATCAAAGTATACATATTATGCATGTATACTGACAAAGCAAATAACATTTTGTTACAGTTAGATCCATTTTAAGAATAAGTAAATACTATGTATGAAAAAGTGGATCTTACTGCAACAAAATGTTATTTGCTTGGTCAGTATACATACATAATATGTATACTTTAATTTTCTTGGCATACGTATAACTAACATTACATTATTTTATAAAAAAAAGGAAAACTTCTTTCTTGTAGGAACTTGAGCAGGTAACGGTAGCAGCTTTTATTCATACGGTTCATTATTGCTGGTCATTGCGCCATGTGCTAAAAATAGACATAACATTATTAATATCGTTATATTCATAAATTGAAGAACTTTTGAAGTACATATCTAAATTTCTTATTTTCTTGGTCTTCCCCGTCTGCCCCAATTATAGTGGGCCGAAGACAATTGATATAGAAATCGCATGAAGCGTTGCTGCTGTCTGCGAGCGCCTGCTGCGTTGCCTCTTGGTCTTTGAGCTATGGAAGTATAAAAAATATAAAAATAGTGAATAAAATGTGAATAAATTAAAATTATGTAATTATAATTATAATATTACGTCTATTTTCATCGATGGCGGGACCAACGTCGGCGATGAAATCATCATCGGCGGTGGAATCGACATCCGCGGAAAGGACGGCACCAGTGACACCGGCGGCGACGGGACGTGTAGCGACAGGACGTGTAGCGGCAGGACGTGTAGCGGCAGCAACTCTGTTGTTATGCTTCATTTCTTCGAATGAGAATTCTTGTAAGAAGTCTTCAACATCTACAATCATCTAAAATTTAAGTGAAATTATTATGTAATAATTTGTTTTTTAATAAAATATAAAGAATATATTAAGAACGCTACTTACGTCTTCTTTATCTGCCGCCATCTTTGATTATCGATTCAACCATTGATCGATATTTCATTATTTAGATTTGTAACTTTAATATAGTGAAAAAGCGTTGTTTCTCATTGGCTGTATTATTTTAAAGGTGGCGCCCCATCGCTTTCAGAACAATTAAACTTGCTTCAATCGAAAACGATTACGTGCTTCATGTTTTCACATAGTAACGGTTAGTTACCATTAAAATATAGTTACGACCGTAACCTGTACGTGCGTTACTGATCGACGTTATATACTGATCGACGACGATTCTGAGCAATAGGTATAAAAATAATTATTATACGCTCGGTAATAAGAATGCCTTAATACATGAATTTATGCATATATCGGAATATATATGCATTTTCCATGTATATACATATATATATATATACATATATGGAAAATGTATGTGTATAAATTCGGCTGATATGTGTATAAATTCGTGTATTAATAAGGCACTTCTGTTACTGAGTATATGTACACATACACACATCACAATTTTATTCATAGACATTATATATATCTAGTCCGAGTGTTTGTTTGTATTTAAGTAGTAGGGATAAAAATCGGGGCACAGACTTTTGCATAAAGGCCATTGCACATTCAAAAGTTTTAGTCGTAATCGTAAACAAATCGACCAATCACAGTTCAAACATTTTTATTCTTCATTCTCAATATTACTTAGCTTTTACAGCATTTATGAAACGATCGATAGA